GTCCAAATCTGTCAAGAATTGGGCCTTGTAGGTTGTTTACAAGCATTTCAAGAACAAGGGCAATAACTCATACTAGATATTTTCGATTTTTCTGATTTTCAATAGGGTCCATCCTAGGGTGATTACTAACACTAACACCAAGTTTCGTCAAAATCCGTCAAGAATTGTTCCTTCTAAAGTGATTACGAGCTAAAAATTGAAAGTGTTTTCAAGAACAAGGGCAATAACTCTTACTAAGTATTTTTCGATTTTTCTGATTTTCGATAGGGTTCATCCTTTACTTGATACCAAACATTTACATCAAGTTTCGTCAAAATCTGTCAATAATTGAACCTTCTAGAGTATTTACAAACTAAAATTAAACACGTTTTCAAGAACAAGGGCAATAACTCATACTAATTATTTTTCGATTTTTTTTGTTTTTTGTTGTAGCAAATACTCACACCGAGATTCATCAAAATCCGCCAAGAATTGCACCTTCTAGAGTGTTCACGAGCATTTCAAGAACAACGTTTAAGTCAACGTCTCTTAAATACTTTTCCGTGTTTCACTCTAGAAGATACAGGTTTAAGCAATTATTATAACGTCACTGGTAATACCTACACGTCAGAATAAAATTCATATTATGTTACCATCAAATTCAAATGATACCATGAAAATCGAATGTTGATATCAAATGAAATGTTAACATCAAATCAAATATAACCACTTCAAAAATTAAGATAGCTTGCGAGGCAAGGTAATATACGCCCACTGGCAGCTTTGATTTTGAATAAAAATATTTAGCAGTACAGTAACATTCACCAGTATGAAATATTCAACCTTCAGTAATACACTTCTTTTGAACTCTTTAGCGCAATACTGAATAATATTGAGTATGAGTTATTGCCCTTGTTCTTGAAGCGTGTTCAATTTTTAGCTCGTGAAACTCTAGAAGGCAAATATTCAATCTTCAGCTTTTGACTGAATAATAAAACCAAGTTTTGTCAAAATCCAGCAAGAATCGTGCATTTTAGTGTTTAAGGGCTAAATTTGAAACAATTTTCAAGAACGAGGGCAATAACTCATACTAGATATTTTTAGATTTTTCTGATTTTCAATAGGGTTTATCCTTGCTTGATAGCAAACACTCATGTCAAGTTTCGTCAAAATCCACCAAGAATTGTGCCTTCTAGAGTGTTTACGAGCTAAAAATCGAACGCGTTTTCAAGAACAAGGTCAATAACTTATACTAAATACTTTTCGATTCTTCTGATTTTCTATAGGGTTCATCCTTGGGTGATTACGAACACTAATACCAAGTTTTGTCAAGAATTGTGTCTTGTAGAGTGTTTACGAGCAATTTTGGACGGACCGACGGACGGACGGACATGGGTGACGGCAATATACGCCCACCATTTCATGTGGGCGTATAAAATCACTGAAATATTTAGACGAAGTGATTATAAAATTATGACGACACACGGAAAGTTTACCGGAACAGAATCACTTGGATTCCAATGAAAACACTTGATTTTTGACCTACCCCTTGTTTCAGTAAACCTCTTGTTCAATTCACCTAGTTTGGTACCGAGCTATCAGAATTTAAACCTCTCTAACAATTAAAACAAAATAATTGTAATACATTTACTTTACAGAATGCACCTTTATACCTGTGATTGCTTTTAAAGAAAGCAGTGGTCTGAGTCCTATTATTACCTCTACAGAATGCATAGAGTTAAAACTGTGTAATGCCAACCTGGAATTCAACCATTATCTAGATTCCAGTGATTCTTGCTGTGGGTCCACGCATAATGGTACTGGTATCATCTCCAAGGCAAGTTGTGATGTTCTTTTGTATTTTCAAATGTAATATTTTTTTTATGTATTTTGACTGGAAAAAAAACGATGTTGACACATCTTATTATCCTCACATCAATATGGTATAATTTTAAAGTTGTAAAGACAACTACCTTTGGATTAGGATTTTTTTTTTACCATGGACTACTGTTGCAATTTTTTTTATAACTTTCGTGAAGGCAACAGAATTTTGTATATGTATGAAAAAGAATTGAATCAATGAACGACAATGAATTGTCTGTTGAGTACAATATATTTTCCTGTAAAAAAAAACGAGGGCCTCGCTTAGGTCCGCGCTCGTTTACAATGATAATGGATAAATTGCAATTGATGTGGGTCAAATAAAAGGCTTTCAATCGACTTTTTAAATTCATTTCTAAGATCCAAAAGCCTCATTCTATTGTTTAAGAAAAATGTTAAAAGGTACTGTTATTATTTTCCTTTCACTCAAAATGACTAAGGATCTGTTGTTTCATTAAAATGGTTTGTATTGAGTTTTGCCAAAATTTTAATGTGCATCGGATAATCTGATATCATTACATTGCACCATTCCAATTTTTTAATCAGACGTCTGTGATTTCTGCGTTTCCTCAAAAAGTGTTTGATGACATCACTAATCGCGAAATTTGCTTTATCACACAAGGCGATTAGTGACCTCATCAAACACTAAGTTTTAGAGGAATTGCAGAAACCCCAGACATATTGGAAATTGGAATTGACAAAATTGATGATATCGGTGTCCCCGATGCACCTCTGAAATTTAGAAAACCTCTTTATACCCTCTTTAACGACAAGTATTTTTCTAATGCACCCAACCGAATCAATGAAAAGCAAAACCAGAATTAAATATCGTTTTATTTCGACTTTTAACTGATTGAGTTTAAGACATCTCGCATTGATATTCCCCGGATTAATTATCCATACTTATTTGCTACTGACTTTCTCAGGGTCACCGGACTTTAACAAGCTGACTGAGATCAGAAACCCCGTTTCATAGTAAATGACGTCCGGAAAAGATCAAAACAATTCCACCATTTTTTTTCTGTTATTCTAATTTTAGATGCGATTTTTGATATTGAACTCACGTGGCCATATTTTATGGGGTGCAATATTTAACATTAGTCAGCAAAACGAATCTTGGATTGATATAGATCACTTGGTGATGACGTCATATGACAGGTCAATTGAAGCGATAGAAGCTATGAGGTAACATCATTTCAGATTCAATTTACATCCATTCACCCCTTCAAGAACTCATGATGTTACTGTGCGATAGGTTATTCTCTCAATCCCCTAATTGGAGAATCCACATAGGTTGTTATAGTGTATATTTTATAAGGAAATAAGTCATGTTTAAGTGAATTCGAATTTTTTTGATCTAATCTTTTCACTTTCAAATGTACCGTCACATACTAATCTGTTACTGCATGTCGTAATGTCATATACTTAACTATCGGCAATTAATTGAGTTTATTCATTGCTATGTTATAATACTTGAATTATGACACACTATTCGAGGCTATGCTCGTTGAAGATTCCTCGCCAAGTTTACATAGAAAAAGAATGAGCAGCGCTGGCGTAATGTCTCTTAGTTCACACTGCCAGCATCATTAATCCATTAAATTCTTTTTAAATATCTTATTCATTTTGTTTTATCTCGTTAGCTATGATCCTATTCCACTAGAGTTCTGCTTCTATACAGACGCCAATAAAACGTTAACAACGTTCTCTGTAGCTATATCAAAAGCTGTAAGCTACTATCTACTGAGTAGGGATACTAAAGGTAGTCCATTACCATCTGGAGTAGAGAAAAGTAAGCTAACTACAATTATGTCTTTATCTCTAATCTAGGGTATCGCGGTGTCTTAGAAGTTTGTTTGTTGAGCCCCGATCCCGGCCTAAGCAACGATAATACATCGGGATTTTTCAACCCTATCAATAATGTAGGTTGGAAGATCTGACGTGATTTCTCAACAGTTGGAGTGGTGATAAAGTAGACTATCCTTGCAGAATTTCGCTCATTGTATACTGCATGACCGGTCTTCATTAAAGAATCAGGCGCAGAAAGGTAGAGCTCAAGCCTCTATCTAATTTCATTTTAATCATTTCATCGGCAATTCCCTTACCCTGGAAGGGATACACATGACAATTGGCATTTTGTAATAGTAAATAGTATGTTAAATGCTTAGTATGCACATTCAAAAGGTGTCTTCATTTTTGAAATCATTAACTTTTTATAAGATTTGTGACTCCATATTAATCGTCGTATATCAAATAGAATTACATGTTTCTCTTTCAGACATCAGTTTGCTAAACGATTTATCCTACCAGCCCTTACTCGGATCCTTTACCAGAAAAATCAACAATAACTATATTCAGGCAAGAGACTTTAGCACCTCTATATTTTATATGTCTGTAAACAATAAAATTCTACAAATGCAATGTTTCTCTTATATTTATACTGGGTTATATCAAATGCTCCATATATTACATTAACGTTGGACGTTTCAACCATTGCAGATTACCTCCGATGTTCCAATATTGGTGGGACGAATAAATTTGGAAATACTCAACTACGGTAACACAGTAGCAACACTGAATTGTGAGAAATATTGGAAATTGGAATATAACATTAAATCGTGTGAAAACCAAGATGCTGAATTCTTCCTGTTCAATTATACCATGGTAGGTGCAAAATGTATCTTGCCCAGGTCCTAATTAAAATTTATTTTTGAATTTAATGCTATAAAAAGGCTGCAAAAAGTTCAAAGTATTAGGCCGAAATGTAACCTATTTTACTGTCATAACATAGTCATTTTAAACTTCCAATAAGCCATATTCTTTTACAGGTTGAAAAAAACCATTCAGATTTGCATTTAATCTGATTGCCAATTGCACGATAATTTTTTTGTTGCGACTTAGGCTACACAGATCCGATTTTACTTGTCTTTTTGACCAATACAGAATGTACTATAGTTCTTTATAATATTTTCTTACAGTGATGTCAGCATTTTAATCAGGTTGTGCAGAGGTCATTTTCAAACCCTGATTAGTTTCATTCTATTGATTGTGAATGATTGTTTTTCATCCGAGGCTGCTGTGCAAATTTTTCTGACTTATTCTTGTAGGAAGTAAATGTTATTTGTTTTGGAAATGTGGGAATGACTATCGATGTCGAATCAATTTTAGTTTCCTGTATAAGAATATATCCAGAGTTTGATCCAGATATATATTCCAGCAATATCCAATCATTACGATTTAGCTTGGATATCCTTGGACCTAAAGGTGAGCAAAACTAATATTACCTTTGGTCTGACGTCTTTCAAAAGTATCATTTTTCCTAGGACTTACACACTTATCCATTTATGGGCATCTTATTATTTCCACATATGAATAATTTCAGGAACTGCTAGCTTTGTCCGTGGTTCTCAGCTCATAATGGAAGAATATTGGTCGAGTGGAGTGGAAACAGCCTCGGCTGACTCCAAGGCAAACACATCGCTAATCCTTTCCGAATCAGAGAGGAATTTAACGTATATAAATCTAGCCTCTGATGCGGCAATAGTAGCTGTATCAGAATCTTTTAACCCAGACTCGATTCAAACAGATACGGTTGTGGTTCAAAACATACAAGATTCGGCAAGTATCTCTTCCACAATGTTTCGAGTAGGGTCTTCGGAAAGGTCGTCAGATACCTCAACAGAGAACGTTGTTTCTGAAATCCAGTCCACTTCACTCTTTGTGTCTTTAGGAACAATGCAAATACTAGCAGAAAATAAAGGGACAATGACGTCTTCTCCCTTTGTAACATCATTAGATGCGAACTCTGTGATTGTAGATGGAACCACAGAAGATTTGCAATCGCGATTTTCCTCTGTACAATCAAGAGCAGAGACATCTCGTTTTGAAGCTGACTCATTAGTTATGGTGCCTGAAATAACTTCATTAATGGCCTTAAAAACTGATCTTGTTGGCGATGGAATTTTGAAGACAGTTTCCTCAATGATAGTCAATAATCACAAACAAGAATCGTCCAATCTTTTCACGGGAGAAAAGCCTTTTGAGGATGATAAAAACCAGAACTCAGAGGATGAGTCAATAGATGACGCCTCGGCCTTCACAGGTTGGTATAAGCGTATGTTATGAAATTCTTGCTCTGCATGATTTATGAATCAAATCTGGTTAAAAGACAAATCCGAATGTTTTTGTGTTCTTTCAGTAGGTATCTCAAATTATCATCTGAATGACAGTGTTTGTACACTATCGGTTAATGGGTTTATATTCATTTCCTCTGCATCATCTTAGTTGTATGTCAATTTGTATGTCCTGTGTGTTCAGTTTAAGGAAATACGAATGTCACGTTAAAAACTCATTGTGGATTTGTGCAAAATGTTAACTATCCTTGTATTTAAACCGGTAGAACCGGTAACCGGTATATGTTATCGTGTTCTAATGTTTTCTTTTATTTCAGTTGGAAATCGGATATCAAAGACAAGCAAGAGCATTTTCTCAATTCGAACGTATTTAGTGGGACCGGAAGACGCAACCACGCCATTTGTATTAGAAATAACAAAGAGTCCCTTACACGAGGCATCGCAGACATCAGAGTATGTTTTGTATTCGTCCGTTTTTTACCATCTACCTCAAAATCTCCCACTAGAAGAAATGTGCAGCTTGATAAACGCAGACAAACCCAGCGCACAGGACAACATCAGTAAATATATAAACTTAACATCGGAAAAATGCCTCGAAGAAATCTACATTTCAGGTTCTTCAGACACGGCGTTCCAGTGCCATTGTAGACCAAAGATGATATCTGGTCACATTTTGCAAGAACCAATCCAACAAAGGGTCGAGCAGATTGTTAAGGAGTTGACAGTCGATAAGAAAACCTTGTCATCTACAACAAGAAAACTAACGTCTGCTAAAGATCCAAGAAAATCGTCTAGAACGATAGGAACTATCGGCATAGCTTTGTTAATCACAGTTGGGGCTTTTATAGTTTCCTTGGATTTACCCAATATTATAGACTTAGCCGTGTCTTTAAAACGCAAAATCAAAATCTCTTCGCTCGATTAAATGTTATAAGGCTGAAAAATATCTGAAAAATAAAAATTTGAATGAAAAGTTGCAGGACTATTTTATATCCTTGTCGAGTTGAATGTGGAATACAAAGACTTAATAATTTCTAGTGCTGCACTTTCCCAACAAACTAAGTTATTGTAAGAAGAAATACTAACTTAAATATAATTAAATTTTATAATGATAATTATATACTATGAGTTCCTTATTTTAACCATAATCATCATCATTTCATTTCATCATTAGGCCCTTTGGCATGACCATCGTATCATGAATAAGGGTTTTGACGTGGTCGTATTCGCCATATTAAACTAAACCCACTACACTTCGTTTTGTTGGCGTGGAAGTGAGTTTCATTCTTTCCAAGTAAATATTCCAAAGTAAGGCTTGATTTTCTCTGGGCTTCACCACTATCTCATGGTGGATCGTCAAAAAACATTCTGACCAATACACATATCACGCCAACAAACTCATAACCTGGAACAAAATGATTAAGACCAAATTGTCAACATATCTTTATCGAAAAATGTGATACAGTAATACATTCGTTAAGGCTTTTGAACAACATATCAACATATGTTTTGAATCGAGCTCATTATTAGTGCCTGTGCTTTACTACAGATTTACACCATATAGTTCTTAATTCGGTACTTCGGGACGATCATGAACGTTAATACTTGCTACACACACACACCCTCACACACCAGATCTTAGTTTTGGATGGTTCTGAAACGTTAGACATAAGTGCATGATTGACATGCTGTTAATTTCCTTAACGGTGCTGAATATCGAGAACGTATTTACGTAACTTAAACTCTTTGCCTGTGAACAAGTGGATAGACTGAAGTACCTACAGCAGAAATGATCATTTTAGCACCAATGCCAAATAGATCAGTTTTTGTATTGAGAGTATTTAACGTCCACAACATGGTTTATAAGTTACCGTTTGCCAATAAATGTTCATTTACTCTAAGGTATTGCAAAAAATGCAAGTATATGACAGAACTCTCTCTTCGACGAGCATGACAAGAAAGGAAGAAGCTTGTAGAGAGAGAAGGCAAAATATTACCTAAAGTAAAGGTAACTCTGGATGTAAGACTAACATACTGACGTATGAGGTAGCCCTAGTGCATACACGCCTTATTCATCCATCACTGAATGACCGTCAATGAATCTGTAGCTCCGTCATTCATTGCCATTGGCTTAATCCGTCATTGGCGTCAGTCCGTCAAACCTCCGGTGGCTTTCAATTCAACCTAAAGGAATGCTAAAACTGAATGCCAATAAATTAGGTAGTCAGACCTGGTTACTTCATACTTAACAACATCAATGAGTTCTCCACACCATCAATGGGTTCGCCACTAAGTCAATGAGTTCACCACTACGTCAATGAGTTCACCACTACGTCAATGAGTTTGTCACTATGCCAATGACACTGCAATGATTGGCGGACTAACGTCAATGACAGATTGAAAAAGAAAAAATAGACAATTTTAAAGGAATCTAGGAAGGCTGTGAAAAAATCTATCGCGATTTTGGTATAGTGAAAGTATAATAATTTTTATGGCACTATTAGAAGACAAAACAGTTTTATTATTATTTGTTTTATTAAGAATAAACGAATACCAGAATTCGTCATAAAATATTACAAGTTTTTGAAAATATATATATATTCACAGTTATCATAATTATGGCAAACGAGTGATGGCTATAGGCTACACTTACAAAACAGCAGCTTTAATCTCATTTATTCTTCTGTTTTTAAAACAATAATATAATATCTCCATTGATCACAGCACATTTCAATATGGCTTGTTACTTACAAATGCATAATGTACATATTGTCTAACGCATTCGGAAGCAACAATTCAAGTGTTGGAGTTTTACATCTTTTTTCATTAAAAAAACATTATAATTATGACTACAATTTTTTTCATATCATTTGTTCAATATTAAAGAGATTGTCAGAGGTTTTCTTAACTTCACATTTGTATTGGGAACACTGAAAGGATCAATTTTCACCATTCCAATTTTCAATAAGACGTCTGAGGTTCATGTAATTCCATTTAAACCTTCGCAAAATAATATATAAGAAACTTTCTGATGGTGAAGTAATAAAACGTAAGTTGCTTTGAACCTTTGCCACAGACGTAATATACGCTTGTCTAACATACAGCTACCGTATAAAGGCGTATAGTGTAGCGTTGAGGGGAATTAAAATAAATACCGGGTGCCAATTCGCCATTATAAGTTGACTGTAAGGGAAAACAAATTAGGTTATAATGTTGCCATGAAGAACACGTCAGATGCGTCTACATAGTTACGTCAACGTACAATGGATATAAGTTCGACATAGGTTCAAAGCAGGTTACTCAAAAGTAAGAAATAAAGTTTAAGTATGACATCATACATCGAAAATTTTATGCAAATAAAATGTTGATTCGTTCTCCTGTCAGTTTGTGATAGCGCACTTACAGAAAAGGTCTTGTTACAAAGAACATTATAAAGAAAACTCGAGGTAAATTGGTCCGCAAATAAGTTCTACCGACTACAAAACAGTCATGAGCACATTTTTACAATATTTCACATATTGTTACGTTTTATATTCCCTTTGAAATAAGTAAAAAAGATAATTGTGTAGAAAAACAACCGTGACAAATCGATTGTTTGGCAATGAATTGAAGATTCAGAAACAACCTTAGTGCAGTACTTATACAAGTATGCTTAATTACGAGGTTTATTAAAAAAAATGTATGACTTAGATTAATGAAATATATTGATTTTCACCATAACTATTGTGATATGAAAAATTGCCATAACTTATTACTTAAAATTCTTAGCAAAATATATGCATAACTTTGTTGTAATGCTCGAAATATTTTTACATTAGATAAGTTCATTAATATGTTAGATATAATATGTCTATGTTATCTTTTAAACGTACCCATTACATTTAAACCCGGTGAACGCCTTTTAACGCCAATTTTGAACGCGTCTTTTTTAACAGATTGGGAACGCGTCCTACGTGTTCAGTTGTAAAGTGCGTTCAGTTTAGAACACTAAGAATTTTGTTAGAATTTGGACGCCACGTGTTAAGATTTGAACTTCTATTTAAGATTTTAATGAACGCTTCTTTTGTAACAGATTAAGGACGCGTCATTATATCGACGCGTTCTGTTTTGCAATTATATTAAAATACAGATTTTACAGTTTGAATCGCTTTCTTTCTGCAGGTTACTCCCTTCCCACAGCGAGTGGATTAACCCACAGAAAGAAAACGATACGAACTTCAAGACATGTATTTTATTCAGATTGCAGTTTGTTTCTCTGTCAGTATAAAATAATATTGAAATAACATGGACTCCATCAGTATTGGTACAAACTTTTGTCTTGTTAACGGTGCATCTGTGACGATAGGGGAGAAACTATCTATTTACTTGCAATTTATTCAACATTTTACTTAAGGTAGGGCCTATATCCTATAGGTCTAGGTAGGTAGGTAGCCTACATGCTTTTTATGAGGAAATATGAACTGTTGTTTCATTATGGTGCTTACTGTAATGATAATAAACATTGGTAGGCAGGCATCACTGCCGTCTATTTCGAAACTATAGGTATTCCAATTCGGATCCCTTTAGGAGAATTAATATTTAATTTAATTTAGTTCATTGACTATTTGAGAACTGGCGTGGTTAAACAAACTTAGACCTAGGTAGACTACTTGGCTTAGAACATTGAAAGTAATAAGAAAATAAAAAATTTTTCTTCAGAATGTAATTGCTAAAACATTGAGCTCTGATGTGTTCTTGACGGCTATGTGAGGGTTGAAATAGTACGGATGAGTTTTATTGAACTAGACAATTCAAAAATCGTGACTGAATCAGATATTTCTATAGTTTTACAGCAAAAAGTCCTTAGTTTCATTGTTAGAGAGATTTTCCTTTTTCGTTATTGAAGATTATCCTTTGTATACAACGCGTGCGATGTCGATATCACGTTCCTTCAAACTGTATGCAATTCAGTCATATTATGAAGATACAGAATAAGTCTCGGAATCAGCTTAAAAAACTTTAAAGTATGTTTTATATATAGGACTGTAAATTTTAAATCCGACGCCAACTGCACTAACTTATCGTGAGTTATAAGTTTCTTCGATTAAAACGGACTAAGATAAACATATATAATATGAAGTTATGGGAGAATAAAATAAGGCATATGGATTGCAACGCAGTATGATAACGAGAAGGCTTACAGAAAAAAATATCTCGATATTGATCATTTGATGGAATCAATTGATTGAGAAGAAAATCTCAATACAATAAAACGCAACAATTCAATATTTTATTTGAAAACCACGGTTCTTCTTTGACGAACAAGAGGCCAATCCAGAGCAGTGTTCATACTGACTTGTATATGTAGAAAAATAGACAATTAGTTCAATCATGGAGATCGTAAATATTTCTCTATCTTTATATTTTTGTGCCATTTCATTTGTTTTTGGTGGAGATCGTAACGCATCCTTTGTAAAAACGAAAATAGTCAACACAAACTGTGATGCGTCTACCCAACTACGGAGTGAATCCATAAATACCAGATTTGAATGTAGTGTTTTATGTACTGGTGAAGCGGAATGTCGAAGATATTTATATTGTACCGATTCTAAACAATGCATTCTGTACAAAGATGGTACTAATTGTATGGTACCAGGTCAGTCAATAGGATGTTCATGTTTTAAGAAGGTATGTTAATTATTGCCAATCAATCACTTTTAACTTATATTTATCTGGGGCTATTTTCTCTTAATATTATATAACGTTAGAAGATTAAAAACTGTTTTTACGGGACATTTCCCTTTGCTACTTGAAGCAATGGTTTTCATAACCGATAACTTATAAAAATGTCATGTCATACAAGAAATATGCATATGTCGCAAAAGTACGAATATACGATACAATACTGCCTTCGCAGGAGCGCATTTCTGAAAACCGCCCCTTTTCGCTTACGGGCGATTTGTCTATTGACAACAAATACAGAGAGGCAATAACATCCTCATGCTTATAGAAAAATATGTTGGCCCTTTTATTTTGCGACGAAACACTTCGATTAGCTGGCTTCCTTCATATATGACAGTTACTTTAAGGACATTTGGCTAGTAAACTCAAATAAAAAAAAAACATTTGTTACAGAATTAAGACCTGAACATTTTTTCAGTTCGATGTATAAACAGAAAAACCCTGTGTACACAGAAGATGCGGAGCTTATATTTACATTCTGTTTACACAGATATAAACCAATCTCTGTTAATTATACTGCTCTATTTTATAGAGAATAGGTTATATTGATGGAAATTGCGTGTGTCCAAGGGGACGATATGGAAGTAACTGTGAAAAAATAATAACAGGTAATAAACATTATGCTATCTGATCACATTTCACGAATATTAGCTCTTCCAGTGGGTTTTAACCTTGGTTAGTCTATAGATAAGTTCTGCACTCTGTCCATCACTCTGACTGTTGGCCGTCATTAATATTTTATGTCATTTAGGTCATTCTTTTTAGTCTCGTATGGTCCATCAGTGTCATTGGACTGTATGTACGTATTATTTAATGTGGGTTTCAAATAGCACACATAACAGCATTAGCATGATTACCACTATTCTGTTATTACAAATAATTTTAAAAAATCGATCAGAAAATTTTATGATCTGATGTAGATATTTGCCAATTCCCAATATAATATATTATTTGTATTATGTATGTTGTTGTTTTAGGTTCTGTTTTGATATTTCTATATCGTACCACAATTAATGTATTGAGCACTATTGAAACTGTGAAAATATTTTAATATTTTATTATTTGTGTATGTATTTGATATTTCATTAGCGGTGTTCCCTTTATGTTGTTTTAACTAATGAGGAAACTCACACTTTGGCAAACTGAAAATCGTTAAATTATAAAGTTAATGCACCTGACAGATATAAAATAAACTTCTTTTGTCAGTATTGCGTGTATATACGTAAAACTCATATCCGCAAATTTCAAAAATTGATGTTTTACAATTAATAGACTATTTTAGAACTGCGTGACATATAACCTATTTCCGATGTAATAATCAAACTACGGCAAAGTACGGCTTGAATAACTTTTACCTCGAAATGTCTCCGTATACGATAGAGGGAGAAAGTCGTAAACCTATCAGAGAGCAGTAGACTTAAAATGATAATGCTTAATGTTTTATACTTATCCCGATAGATCTCTATACTCAAATCAAAACTGAAGTTTATTATTGATGTAATATTGAAAACTTACGGTTGATTGTTAAAATGTTCCTTTTAAGTATCAAGTTTAAATTGCAAAGTAAATCGGAAACATTCAAGTGTCGATTGACAAAATTAAAATAAAAAATTTAATGATTGAAGGAGGGACAATTGTTCGGTTACTAACGTACACAAAGATACTTCTTAACAGCATGAATTCTGGAATTTTTCATTAAATGAAAGTTTTAGCTACTAAACTTCGATCAGAGTGAATTCAGAATTGATTTTTCTTTGTCATTTCACTAATATTTTAAATATAAATTTTACCACTTACTTGTCTTTGAGTTCATTGAAATGTTTACTATTGAAATGGACGTAGTACTTCCCTCCTGGATATTTGGAAATGACCCTATATATTGGAGTGGAGTGAAAAGTTTCCTCTCTAAAAATCATATTACCAATAAACACCTTTTTCACTGGATTGATATGACATGTTAAGCGAAGCGTAAGATTTGTGTTTCTGAATGATTTTCGTCAACTTCGAGACAAACATTCTCGTGGGTAGGCTACAAGGAAAATCTCATTGATAATCTATTTGATAACTGTTTGGGAAATCTTATCGACTTATTTCAAATATTCATTTCAGATTGCACTCACGGTAAAAGTCTCGGCATGTCCTCTGCCCCATTAACAGACATTCTAGCAGACATTCAACCTGTTTTGTCACCAGAGCCATTTGAAGTTTTATGTACATTTGGTTATGGTGGATGGACCATAGTATTTTACCGCAATCAGAATTGTGAAACAGGTGATTTTTATAAAACTTTAACAGAATATGAAGATGGTTTCGGTGCTAACCCAGTAATGAATGGATGGTTAGGATTAACAAAGTGGCTATATATTTTAAATGGAGCATCGAAAAAAATGGGAACTTTGATTTACACATCAGATACTGCATTCTGCGTTAATCATTATACACAATTTAGGTTGGGTTCTAAGTCCGAGGGTTACACCTTCAACTGTGCATCCGTCACTACTAGATCGTGTGGTGACTCTCTTACAGGGGCTATAAACCTAAATGGAATGAAGTTTTCTGCTCTCGGATCAGATTATTCATGGTTGTCTGAATGTGTCAATAGATTTCGTTGTGGATGGTGGTACTCCGATACAAATTCTAACTGTACCAGAAGTTTACTAACTGGAACTGTAGATGGATCTGGAACGGACGTATTTTGGACAGACGACTTGGCATCATCGAATATTCCAAAGTTTCAAATAAAATTACAATAAATACATCCCAATCTGGCTTAAAGCAGTGATGACGTCAAGTCAGTTAAACTTTCTTTCCGAAGAGCAGATAATATTTCAATGAGATATTGCTCAAAAAATCTGACATGATAAAGGTTTAACGTGCGTCTTTCATAACTTTGTTACCATAACAGCAGTAGGCCTCCTTATTGAAATAAGCCAATAAACTTGTTGCCAAACCTATTCATAGAACAGTTAAGAATATTTTAATAAGCAACAATTATCTATAATATTCTGAATCTGAAATGGAAATTAGGAACATGAATACATATTGGAAAACCATAGAGATTTGTATTCCAAACGTTATTTTTTCTTCTCATAGCTTTTCGCCAATGATTAACATTAACCTGTCTTGACTGGAACGGTTATCAACACCATAGTTGCATACGGCTTACTGGAGAAAAAAAGACATTATCAAGCTTGCATAAAGCTTGGGTCCATGATCATTAAGCTTGAACGATAACAATTACAATTGAAAGAGGGGCACCTAACAAAATAAAACAGACATGATATAAGTAATAATGACTGCGATAAAGAGACAGGAGTATCATCGCAATTCCATAAGAAACACAACGACGCGAAGTTAATCCATTGCTAGTGGTTATTTCCCTTTATCTGCGTATTCGTATCATATCATGTAGTGTCTTTTGTCCCATGTGTTGACGATGCTATATTTCCCTATTATATAATCAAACTAATATTAAGAAATAATAAAACCAAACTTAGTAATTATGAAAATTTAGTCCCCAGAATACGCCACTATATTTTCAAACAAGGAGAAATGGAATTTGAATGGACGTCACGACTTCATGAGATGATCATCAGTAAATCCTCTATTTCTGTTGTTTAGCTTTGTCGTATTCCAGTTGTTTAAGTTCTGTTGAGTTGATCAAATGGGCAACAGTCAAAGAACTAATTCCTTTTGCACCCCTAATTTAGTAAATATTATAATAACTAAATTTTTCAGCCACGTCGTCATACGATTCCTTTAAAAGGCACAATAATATACAGCTTTCCACTATACACATTCCCGTTGAAATCCAATGTATCATAAACGACCAATCATAATTACTGGCGACTCCTTGAGGGTATAGGTTTTGAGGATCGACATCCAGATCTCTTAATGCAATAAAACAGATTCCACTTACACTTCCACAAATAGCTAAAACAGTAAAAATATACTAAACTAGTAAAAGATAACAGAATTAAATGCTTGTAATTATAAAAAAAGAACAGCATTTATTTTGTATCAACTATAGCTGAGCAAAGAAATTTAAGTACTTTAAATGCTACAACTCAAGCAATCCTCTACATTATCAGGTAGAATAATTAGTAATGGGTTTTAAACTGTACAAACCAGCCATAAAATTTGTATCTATTACTACTTTAACGGTCTTGATATAATTACAGAATATAAAGTTTGCTAATAAGTTGACTATTAGTCAAGTTATTGACCACCTTGTTTTTGTATTTGACGACGTTTGCTACAGTCTGTGCACACCAAGAAGATCATACCCTCTTTTGACTTAGCAGGGTATTGCCGTCCTCGTTAGTCTCGAGTAAGACACCATTTCATTCCCATTTTATAGATTTGAGTTTATGACGCATCGGGTGAATATAAGAAAATAACTTACTTGCTAGAAGAAGCATCAATGCCGCACCAAGATATATCTTGGATCTTTTAATATTGTGACAATCAGCTGGCCAGACTCCACATATCAGAGTTAAAATAGTAAATAATTGAATTCCACCACACAAGATGGCAAAAGCTACGAAACATCTGGTTAAATCTAAATTGAAGAAGTTATTGTGTATATTGCTGTATTGATACTATATAATTTGAAGTTGTGTTTCAGAATGATGTATTTATATTTGTGATGATCTAATCACAATGATTTTGGGACTTAATGATATCAATCTCATTTCTTGTACAAACAAACAAGATAATTTATTAATGGTTTAAAAGATCAGAAAGTTTCAGTATTCCCATCCCATATAATATTAACCAATCGTGGACCATGTTTCCGATGTTTGAAATGAGATTTTAACTAATTGTACGGCTGAAATTGTTGAAAGCAATAAGCAGGTTATTACAGTGTAATGCCGTGTAATTGATAAAAACTTGGTCTTCATTTGTAGCGAACTAACGAAGCAGAAATACTTTATATTAAGTTTAATCAAGGAAAGATAACTCGTCTAGTGTTCCATGAAATTGAAGCCAGTAGTAAAAACAACATACAAACTTTTTTCTGATTTTGAAGAAAAAAAAATCGAACATTTTAATTGAAAGAAGCCAGAAAGGCGTACTTTATTATAAAAAATAAAATAAATCAAATGATTAATTCGGTCTATCGCAAAAATCGTCATTCACATAAGAAGATAGCTTGCAAGGTAATATACCACCACTGGCAGTTTTGATTTTGAATAAAATATTTGATAATACAGTATAAATTACCAGTATGAAGAATTCAACCTTCAGACATACCATACATTTCTTTTGAACTTTTTCAAAAAGTGTCATCAAATTCGTCAAGAATTGAGCCTTCTGGAGTATTTACAGTCTAAAACTTGAACGCATTTTTTCAAAACAAGGGCAATAACTCATACTGAATATTTTCGATTTTTCTGATTTTAAATTTTCGATAGGGATCATCGTTGGGTGAGAACAAACATTCACGCCAGGTTTCGGCCAGATCTGTCATGAATTGAACCTTCTAGAGTGTTTACAAGCTAAAATTGAACGCCTTTTCAAGAACAAGGGCAATAAATCATACTTTCTGATATTTCTGATTTTAATTACTGTTCATCATTGGGTGATAACAAACACTCACACCAAGTTTCATCAAAATCTGTCAAGAATTGCACCTTCTAGAGTGTTTACGAGCGATTCAAGAACAAGGGCTATAACTCATACTAAATATTTTCCGATTTTTCTGATTTTCAATAGGGTTCATCCTTGGGTGATAACAAACAACAATACCAGTTTTCATCGAAATCAGTCAAGAATTGTGCCTTGTAGAGTGTTTACGAGCAATTGTGGACGGACCGACGGACGGACGGACGGACGGACATGGATAGGTGACAGCAATATACGCCCACCATTTCAAGTGGGCGTATAAAAAAGCTAATTATGAATAGTTTTCAGTGACGTCAAAAATCCAAAATGATATCTAAATTATGAAAGTTCCGAGTTTTTCATATCAGAGGATATTAATTTTTGTTTTAAAATTAATCATTCATTAAAACATATAGATAAGATCAGAGCTATACACAGGCTACATAAACCACTGAACATGGTGAACCGTGAAGTGAACATCAATGGTGTACAAATTCAATAATCGTTTAATGACTTACTTAAAAGCTCACTGTGATCATAAAAAGTTTATAAAGTGGTTGTAATAAGAACATTTTTAGTTTTTTTAATTTACATCAAAAATTTCATAATACGCAAAACAGAATTATCATTTGAATATTATCAACCGAGGGAGAATTGGGGTATTTTAGTGTCATTTGGTAAGTGACATTTTTATGCTTAAATAACAAGTGGATGCCAAGCAAGATACGCCCACTTCACTGATAAATTTTCAGTATATCAAAGGTGGCGCCAATATGTATCAAATCGTACCAAAAATTTAATTTTTACAAGATATTGTTGATTTAATCAAACACAAAATTTGATAAAATTCTGACATAAAATGCCAACAAATTTTTTATGTCAAGGGCAATAACTCAAATTTCATTCATTAAAAAATATTCAAATTCAAACTTGACCAAGATCTCATTGTAATAGATGTTCACACCAGATTTCATTAGAATCAGATGGAAACTAGTCTCTATAGTGTTCAAAAACAAATTTTGACGCGTTTTTACTAAGTTAGGAGCAATAACTCAAAATGATCACACAAAAGTTCATCTAAATCGGATGAAAACTGTAGTCTCTGTTGTGTTCACAAACAAATTTTGACACATTTTTTCTAAGTCAAGGCAATAACTCAAAAACTGTTTATCGAAAAATCATCAAAATGCCAAATTTCATTAAAATCAGATAAAACTATAGTCTCTATTGTGTTCAAACACAATTGTTGATGTGTTTTCCTTAGTCAAGGGGAATGACTCGAAAAATCTTTAAATTCAAACATGACCAAGAGCTCATCTCATCATGTTAAATGATCACACCAAATTTCATTAAAATCAGATAAAAACTGTATTGTGTTCGCAAGTTAATTGTGGACGGGCGGACCGACGGGCGGACAGGGGCGATGACAATGTACGACCACATTAGAATATGGGCGTATTAAAGGGACTTTTTGGTTTTCCTTGTAAGTCGCTATTGTACTGTCAAAACGTCAAAGACATACTATCCGGAAGTTGATACAGGATCATACTATCATGGACTTAAACGAATTGTACCGTTATTTGCATGACCAAACATTTGTAACAAAATGATTGAAGGATTCTGGGTAAGATATACTATATTTTTCTTTATGGAAATTTGGATTTCGATACTGTTTCTTGAAACATCTTTCTTGAAACATCTTTCTTGAAAGATACTTTTCAAACATATGGCATACTGCTACCCACCAACACAACAGTTGCCCGACAACCACAACACTGCAGGTTATGATAGAATTGCAAATTCACTACACAACCAAACGAGTGTAAATGCTATTGAATATAAAACTTACGTAAATAAAGTTGATCATCATAAGGTAATGTGTCTTCATGACTTTGGATCATATCCTCATATATAAATATACAATTCCCATTACTACCAACCCGCTCCTTTACAACAGGGGTATCTGAAGCAAGGTGCAATTATGTTTACAAAAAATACACAGGATAACATATATCTGAAACCTATAAGCTTTTGGTGGACTTAATTTAGTATTATGCACGTACTACCTACACTTTTTTAATGTTCCATGCGTTCTAGACCATCTTGGTTGGGAATCATCCGATGCAACTCTGTATACGTCTTGGAATTAACATAAAATTTTAAAATTTTAAACTTGGCCAACTAAGAGCATGTATTCATCGGTAGATATACCTGGTGTCATAAATAACATAACAGGATCCTTATACACTCTGATAAATTAAAAAAACTTAGTGATTATCCATAAATATGCAATTAACTATTTAAAAACGCTTAATATTAAGATAAGAGTTTTTCAATAATTTTCCAGATTTTCCAGGGATTCTGTTGTAACTTTATTACTGATGAATATATACTCATTGACCATTTTTGAGAACTTAAATTGTATCTTCATTCTAAGACATAGTATCACTTTCTGATACCTAAAGTTGTTTATTTGGAATATAATTACGCTGAATCTATTGGAAATTACTTTAAAATGTTTTGTGTTATATTAAGATATAAAATATCACAGCCACAATGTATATCTGAATTTTGTGACAATATAACACAGTGTACAGATGATTATAATCTAATATCTCTGATGGATAATACAGGTAAAAGTTATTAGGACACTGCAAGAGAACGTAAAACTCCATTTTCCTACATTAAGCAAAAAGAAATTCTAATGAAACAATTATTTGCCATAGAAGACGAAACAGCGTCCAGAGTATATTTTGTATGAAATGGTCGATGAATGCGATTGATATAGAAGTGATACACGAACAAAATCAATGTAAGAAGTAGTTCTCCCGAGACAACCTACTTTCGATTTCTCATTTATAACGATTTGATAATCTACAAGTCGACAAAATAACATTAACTTTATATAGCTTGTGTATATAGACAATAATATACATGTGTAGTCGGTTTACACTTATTTTATTGCAATGTACAAATCTGAATTACCGGTTAAAGCACAAGTTTATTTAATTAAAATACAGAATTATAGCTTTATAGATCTCCCTTTCCTGCGAGATTTTCCTTCTTTGAACGTCATATTTAACGATTGTATTTTTATTATAAAATTAACATATTACAAAAACATTCTATATATTGAAGGTCGACAAATTTCTAATGTATACGTCAATTATTGAGGATGTTTAACTGAGCAGAAAGTATGGTAATTGAAGAGTAACGGGATGCCTGTCCCCGGGGGACCTCCTCTCGTACCTCGCTTCACCCTGGTAAACAAATTAGATTTTGACAATAATTCCTAATGACTTAAGGTATTGATTTGTGGTGAGTAAAAACCGGGGTATTTAATGGTACAGAGCTACTCTTCGATTTTTACATCAGATACTATATGGTATGACAGCGAACAAATATCAACAATCTGATCCTCCATTAACATTGACTACTGGATACAAACGGTATTAGTATCCACAATATACATTTCACATTTATTACTTTTCATTGCTGGATGAGAAAAAGGTACGGGTCTACAGAGATTTACTAGTCCCCAGTTGTGTCTTTTGCATAATTATTGATATTGGCTATTAAAGAGGCAGTATGCATAATTTTTATCATTAATTATACATGGAAAGATTTACTAAATATATCATTCATAAATGATTAACTTGAATTTGTTTTACAAATGGATGAGCGTACAAATTGTTAATTAAGCAGTTTGATTTAGTTTAAATACTTTCGTAAACTTTTCAACTTTTTAGCATTCTAAAATCCAAAGCAAGATACTTTTTAAGTTAAAATTTTCATAAAAGTTAAAGTTACATTTCTAAGATATTGATGTATGTTTTCGGCCTCTGAAAAAAATGATATACTGCCACTTTAAAATAGTATGTAAATCCTTAAACACAGTTTAACCATCATCAATAATTTAAATGCTACAAAAGCTTTTATAGCGTATTCAAAACGAAATACCCAATTCGATACTGGTGTAGGGCCTGATATACAAAACCTAATATAAATCAAGCTTGTTTTGTCTTCCTTAATACGTGGACCATAACATTTTCACATCTTACTCACCTGAGGGTAGAGATTCATAACATTTTTTCCAAATACCATAATGATACGTCCATTTACTTTGAAATGTTGAATTTCCCAACGAATCCGCCTGTACATTGTACCAATGGTCTGTTAAAATGGCCACCAGATTCAGAGTGAGTGATGCAAGTATCATGAACAATACAACCCCTAAACACACAAATTTGTTTCCCATTTTAATTTCTAGTCTACAATATGTTTGTCCATTCAAATCAATCAAATTTCCGTTAATATTCTGTAATAAACCTCACAACCTTCGATTATTAACGAAATTGTCATCGCTTCAAATACATAGAGTAGATAATAAAAGCACGCCCTGTTACACTCCTTGGTAAGAATAATTTGTTAAAGAACCACAACACAAACAGTTAACACTATAAAATAGGAAACCGACAGAGCGAATCCTGACCTTGTTATAAAGATTTCTTTTCAAATATCTTAAATTCAAATTGATAGCGATATTTTGACTAATACAACACACCTATTGTGAATTAACCTAGTTGTTGTTCTATATTTTATACACAGTCACGTAAAAGCCTTCTGGAAGTAATTTCGGTTGTATAAGTATAATTCTCAATATAATTCTGAAAATAAAAAATAATTTTCAATTCATTAAGAAATCAACGTTCTATTTTTACCAAACGTGTGTTTGAGATCCAAGAAACCCTTTCAGTCACATATCTGCAATGACAAACTTTATAGTCCCCTTTGGTCGCTAACATATCTTTTGAATAAAGGCTATATAATCGTTTCCGTTTTTAATCTGAATAAAATGGAATCTTTATGGAAGTATGTGGCCATCATGATGATATATTGCACAAATCTACATATAGACACGAATTTCATATAGAAAGTTACGTAACAGGAGATATTTAACTTTTTGAATTTATAGAAGTAAACGTTATTCACTGCTCTAATGTAAATATTATAATGCATATAATTATATTAAACACATATATAAGAAGTAAACCAATAGGCAGTCGTATATAACAAATTTCTGAATGATTTTGGTATATGAACCATTAAACTTTTATACGAAATCTCACATTATTATCTATTATATTTACTCAAGTTCTGAATTCTACATTCTCTGATGCATGCCTTCTTTATGAAAATACGTTTTACACTTAAAATGACGAACCATACCCATTATAATATAAAGAACAATTCAACCCATCTTACCTTCACTAGTATATTTCAATATCATAATTTAAGATAAGGTGTTGAAGTATGAAAATAACCTTTTGATTTATGAATTTTGTGGTTAGCGATGTCAGTTTTATAGTCATATCAGAGTAAAAAATGTTCAAGTGAACTACAACTTATATAAGGTGATTAGAAATAAAGGTGTTTCATAAAGGAAAAGATCTCATTTCTCATTGTATGATATCAGGATTTCCAATATGGCAACACCTCACTAAAGTTGTAAATCTATTCAAATCCAGACCACAGAAAGGTGATCAGATATTCTAAAACATGAATACAACAACTCAATACCGTCTATGTATACAATGAATCATCATAATGGATATGAATAAAGTACAGTACCTAGTATTGTTCAGAAGGGTATGCTAGTTTTTCTTTTGACTACTTATAATTGCAATGCATCTACGTAATTTCTTCTGATTCGTAATACGTAACTGAGCAACCCTGTATTTCTTACTCATGACATGACTCTTGTTTCAGTTCATACACTATAAGACTTGAAATATGAGGAAAGCAACACAATGGCTTGATCATACATTGAGGAAATACAATTTTAAATTTAAACTGCTATTAAGGTCATACTTAAATTTGCTGTAGAGTTGTAGGGCCTATAATTTCTTTCAATGTCTACCAGAATGAAACATGACCATAAGAAATTTTAATGAATCAAACCTATAAAAATCCATCACGTCAACTGAAAAATTAATGAAACGGTGAAAAAGAAACAAAGTTTCAAACCACTGATACTAATTGGATTTATGTTAGCATGAGAATAATCCAATATATCCGAATATTCACAATATTTACAAAGATATATATGAAATTCCAATCTTGTATAAGGACAAGATAAACATAACGGCCTACCTTAATCTTACAATAACTTCACCTGAGATTACCTATATGATATCTCACCTGGTTCATTCTAGGTCACGTGAATTAGGTGAGATGAATACAATTTGTAATAGAATGAGTTCTCAATTGATAGACACGATTATCAAAACTACATTATATTCAGAGGTCACGAGAGTCTTGATACTAGTGTCTATTCAAATTAGAAACCGGTTTGATACTAAATTACCATTTCGGACACATTTATCTATGACGTGATCGTATGGTGATATTAGTACACATAATGTTGTGACGAGTAAGACATACCCTTGAGCTATTATTCAATAAAATTTTATACTGACTAGTTTCAGTCAAATTTCGACTCGTTGTTGTAAAATGTTATCATAATATCTAAGAGCTAATAAAAAACGCTGATAAAAGTATCCCAGAATTCCACACATTCCATAGCGGAATAGAACATTTGATTGGTTGAATATTTCATTGGCTAAGAACATGACGTATAGTATAAGAATTTCGTCAGATCGTAGTTTGAATCCAGCACAGGAAAAACATGAAACTTAACATCTATGTCTATATTTAAATTCCAAGGGTCATTATGCAAAATTTTCATTTTCAATAAGGGCATAAGCTATCCCTGAAAATATTTCCATAATATGCTATTTACATCTATGTATCTGCTTGATCAAACCGATTTTTTTTTTTAAAAAAGTTTAATTATAATTATTACTAATTGTTAATTAATCAGTTTGACCTAGTTTGACCTGGATAGGGGCACATTCTCTATTTTGGTGTTTTCACAAATTTGAGCAAAAAATCTATTTGAACTACAAAAAGAACAGAACGCCCCTTTAAATGCAACGTGAAAAAGAGTGCAGTGTTCGGTTGAGATCAATAAAGATCTTAAAACAGGTAAAACGATGCAACGCGTTGGTGGAGAACATTTCTCTTGAGGTTCTGTCACAAAAAAATGCTGAAATATTCTGAAAATTTCTGGCTGTGCATTTGGAAAAGTGCAATGCCAAGAAATTGAATGCGAAAACTAGAATCTATATTAATAACAAACCACGAACGAGATTCAGCTCGACTAACGATTTACAAACTATTTCAAATCACAAAACCTACCCAGTTTGAATCACAAAGCAACTGTATGTTTTTATGTGATATTTTGGGTATCCTTAGGTAGAGTACTACTTTACACCTGCTTACAAATTTAATCCACTTCACTTTGCATGGTAATGATCAATTTCGTTTAAGTTGTGAAGCATCCGTCACCTGTAACACCGTTTTAATAAAAAGGGAGTGGATATTCTGTGGGTGCTTGTTAATAAACTTGATTGAAAATAGATATCCATTTCATTTCGTTGTTTTAAATGTTTTTTTTTTTATTTTATTCATAAGAAATGGATTAAAGAACAGGCTTTCACCTATATGACCCTTTTCTTTATATACAAAAATTGCAAAACAAGTTGATAGATATAGATTAAATACAATAAAATATATACATTTTAAAAATATATGCAATTATGTCAATGAACATACACACACATAAGGTATAGAGAGCAGAATTCATACAGGAATAGGAAGACAATAAAATGTAGCATTGACTGAACCTTGAAAGTTTCTGCTAATGTTTAGAAATAATTAAATCACGATTCCGTTTACACGGTATCACGCAATTTGGTTGGATAGCAGCGGTCACGTGAATTCGGTTTATATCTGTGTAAACGGAATGTAAATATAAGCTCCGCCCCTTAACGGACTACTTTTAACATTGAGTTTGATTGAAGTGGCCACTACACAGCGTCAATGTCTTTTCTTCGAACGTCACCAGGGCCGAAATCTACACTTCACTGAATGATTGCAGTATTTTCCAAATTCCCTCGAATGTGCATTCTCCAAATATCAACAAAATCATGGACTTATTTCGAACCTTGGCTTTCAATAATTGAACTTCAAATGTGGCCGCTCCGTCAACTTTCAAGCAGTAGACAGTAGACTTTAAATAGGTGACCTACTTATTTTTGATTGGCTGTTCTCTAGGACGTCTCAATTGTTAGAATCAGTTCATTAACGTTATGTTTAAATTTTAGGTATTTATGCGCCAATTTTGTGCCTAAGTTTGTTGCTATTTTAGATAAATATTTAAACACGTATTCGAGTTTATTCCTTATAATTAAATAAACTCGAATACGTGTTTAAATATTTATCATCCCTTAAATAAATGGACTTTTGCAAAAATTTTGACAGATTGGGATAAGGTAAGGATTTCTTTCCCACAGTGAATTGACTCACTTTATGATACTTATAAACTAAGAAACTCTCGACACAACATTTTACTCCTCATCTGCGAAGAATAGAGAACGATTTAATATACTCTCGTCAGAGACAACCGGGAACATTGAATCGACGACCTTCTGGATCTATTGTGAGAAATTACTGTATTGAATTCCATTTACAAGTTCATTGGTGACGTCATAGTCCAAATATGAGTTATACATAATAGATAAATAAGCCTAAAATAACTCTTGCTCTGTTAATGACGTCATGATGAAGTTTATTTCCGGTTTATGAGAATGGTATTTATAGATGTCGGTTCAAAGTGTCATAGTATTTTATATAGATTTGACACAGCTGTCTCATGGTGGTGAAATGAAAGACTTAATTGAGATAGAGACGATAATTTTCCGAAATTTGTCAATCTTCAAATGATCTAAAGTTTAAAGTCCTCTAGATGGAATTAGTGAGTCACACAATGCATTGTCCATAAAAGAAGATTTTGTCCGGAAGTGGTCACACCAACTGTAACGTACACAATCTCAAAATCTTTAACCTGTAAAGATGACGGGGATAATCTCATTCCAAAAGTAATGTAACAATAAAAGCAGGGTTTTCTTTGGTTAAAATTTGTAAATTCAGAGGCCAAGTGCGATTCTGACATGATCTCAGCAAGTTTACCAGAGCAGCGACTTTCTATTATCAAACAAATATTTAAGCGATTGCCACTATACGATGCACACTAGGGATCTTACGGAATATATAAAGCGTTTTACTTCCAAATCATGTTATGTTTGAAATACAAGATATTTTTAATGGCGGTTAACTCTGCAAACATTAATTAATTCTACTCAACTAAAGGTGTCGGAACAGATTACACAGAATGTAGATCAAGAAAATCATATTCGATGTCATAAATTAACAGTAACTGTTGAAGAGATTCGACCTCGGATAATATAAACCAATCAAAAAGAGTTAAAAATAGAGCCGCGGTCTTAAACTACAATTAATTTGTTTCCTTATTTAGATAGTTCTACGGACAAACTAAGATCCGGTGTGGCAATTGGATGAAAGACTGACTGAAAATAGAATCAAGAAAGATTCTTTATTGAAGCTAGCTAATCAACTCAGTATCAAGAAAGCAAGAAAATTCTTTTCTATTCATATTTTGAGTAAATTTCATTAAAATCACGGCTATTTCTATCTAAATTCAGACAAAGATGTTGATAATATCTTTAGTTTATGATTATTTAATTT